TGAATACTAATAGGACAAACAAAACAATCACTTGACTCACTGAAAAAGCCTTAAACCACATATTAAAAAAAAAGTAGTCAAGGTGGATTCTATTCAAAGAAATTTTAAACAAAGATGAAAACAAATATATTCTGGCAATACTCAGACATCAAAAAACTCAAACACACCAGGCATGGTGGCACACGTCTGTAATCCCAGCACTCAGGAGCCTGAGGCAGGAGGATTGCTGGGAGTTAAGAGGCCAGCCTAGGTTACACAGTCAGTTTCTGGGCAGCCTGAACTACAGAGCAAGACCCTTGTCTCCAAAAACAAACAAACACACACCATTAAGCAGATCAGAACATCAACTGAAAACTCTGGCTACCCAGATTTCCTTGTAATGTGAAACACAGGTTCTAAAATTTATAACCAAGTTTCCTTTGAGTTTTAATTCACGACTTTAATCAACTAAAAAAACAAAAACTTCCTTGGGCATGGTGGCATACATATGCAATCCCAGCACTTGGGAGTAGAGGCAGGAAGATCACCACAGGTCTGAGGTCAGTCTGGGCTGCATAGTGAACTCAAGGCCTGCTCAACCTACATAGCGTGACCCTGCCTCAAAAACAAAACAAAAGAAACCAAAACAACAAATCCCCCCTATATGTCAACAATCTGGGGGTTTATTCATCCTAATTACTGGATAGGTAGAGTAAAGTCAGGATATGTTTTATTTATTAACCAAAATAAGGAAAATTAAGATATACAGAGCTATGACTGAAACCACAAGATATGTGGCAAGACTAAGTAAAAAGTCCACATTTTACAAGAAGTGATTAATAAAAAAGAAAATCCACATGTACTCAAAGACAGCAAGGCTACATTAAGAGCGACACACTCCTAGGATCCCTGCTGGCCCTTGCTTCCCCATCCTTCTCCACTGCATTTCTTGCTGAAGTGTTGCAGGTGGAGCAGGGCATACGCCTGTAATCCTAGCACTCAGGAGGCTGCGGGGGAGGACTGCCAGTAAATTAGGCCAGCTTCGGCTACACAGTGAGTTCAAGGCCATATCTACAGCCTGAACTACATAGTGAGACCCTGTCTTAAAAAACCAAAAGTACAGCAGTGGGAATGCAGAAGCTCTAGTGAGATCCAGAACGGTTTATATGGTCCTGGGGGATCTACACCGCTTTTGTGATCCCCAAATGAACCATTTGTATGGAAGTTCTCTAAAACAGAGCCAGGCTAAGCTAGGCATGGTGGCATAATCCTGTAATCCAGCACTCAGAAGTTGAGGGAGGAGGACTGCTGTAAGTTTATGGTCAGCCTGGGCTATATACATAGTGAGTTCAGGACTAGCCTGAACTACAAAGCAAGACTCTGTCTCAAAAAACAAAACAAAAATAAAAAAAAGAAGGAGGCAGGTTAGATTAAGGTTGCCTAGTACAATGAAATGTTGAACAAGGAATGACTGCTTGGATGCCTCTTTTTCAAACCCCACAGAATCTTTTCCTGCACACTAAATCTCCTTTCCTTTAGAGACAGTATCTACATTCTAACCGGTCAACTTTCTATTACACAAGTATTTTACATCTTCATTAATTCTAAAGTTTACCCATAATCTTTCAAATAAACACCTACTTATACATCTCACATTTACAATTTTGAGCTCTTTAGCAGTTTTCTTTTCTTTCTTGCTTTTTTTTTTTTTTTTTTTTTTTTTTTGATACAGGGTCTCGCTATGCAGTTCAGGCTGGCCTTAAACTCACTTTGTAGCCCAGGATGCTCTAGAACTTGCAGTGATCCATCCTCCTGCCTCAGCCTCCGGAGTGCTGGGATTACAGGTGTTCGCCATCACACCTGGCTATTCAGCAATTTTCAAAGTCCTACCCAAACACAATCTGCTTTTACATTTCAATTGCTAATATTTACAATCCAGATATGGTCAAAGACGTTTCTCTGTAGAGAGATCCACTACCCTTCGTAGGTCTGCGACTGTAAACTTACCCATCTATCTAAACTGTGCCATCTTTTCCTTTAGTATCTATTTTTTTCTTTTAGATGCTCCTGCATTTTTGGCCATCTAGTTCAGACAATTCTTGCTTGAGAGAGAGATCTCTTTACCACTGGTCCTCTTTCCAGAAGTCACTTTCTCCTGCAGTGACTCCTAAATAATGCTAGGAGGTCATATTGTGCACTCCTGGTGTCTACAACACCTGTCTCTGAACTCCTGAAATGAATTCCCATTCCTCGTTTCAGCCCTGACGTACAGTGACGAATTTTATGCATGTCACGGCTTAGCAGTGTTAACTTTAAGAATGAAGAGTTCCTTTAAAAACCTCAGGTAGGGGCTGGGGATTTAGCTCAGCCGCACAGCGCCTGCCTGGCAAGTGCAAGGTTGTGAGTTCGATTCCAGATACTGGAAAAAAACCAAAACCAAAACCAAAACCAAAAAAAAAAAAAAAAAAAAAGCCTCAGGTACTCAGGGTCCTGAAAGCATTTCTCCCTCTCTGTCTTCCATTTTCTGGACTGCTCAATCTTTACCTCTACAGCCTTTGAATTCCTATCCTGATTTTGATTTTTTTTCAGTGTAAAATCTTAATAACTGTTTGTTATTGTTAAATTTCTTTCTTTCCGTTTTGTACACTAAGGATTGAACACAGAGCCTTTTCTCTGAGCTATACAATCCTTTTTAATTGTTTTCAGACAGGTTCTCCTACGTTGCTCAGGCTGGGCTTGAACTCTCACTTTCCTACCTCAGTCTCCCAGAGTGCTGGACTACAGGTGTGCACCACCACAACTCCCTGCTTAATGTTAAATTTCTATGTCCTCCGGAAGCTCAATCCAAGCCAGACTATTCTTTCTCGTAATTGCTCCTTAATGGATCATCTCTTCATTTCTAATTATATTATACTTTATTTCCCTTGTCTTTCATTTTAAGTCCTAGTCAACCCATTTTTCAAAGCCCAAACAAATCGTTTCAAGCAAGCCATTCCAAGTTTTACTTGTTTTGAATTCAAAGTGAAAGCAAGAATTCTTTAAATAAAAATGGACATGGAAAACTTCAGGAGCAGACTGCTCTTCTGCCCTCTCACTCAAATCATTCAACGCACTATGGGGCATCCTGTTGGGTTATCAATACATTTGGTTGATTAACCAGTTTCCCCATCAGCATTTTTAGCTATCACCTTAGTCTTCAGCATATGGACCTCATCAAACATATTTTGTTATCAAACATTAACAAGCTGTCTCCTAATGATTATGATCAAGTACTTTTCATTATAGCGACCATTTACTGTTACAAGTCAAACACTTTACATTTATTACATCTGATCTTCCTTTTCTATGTGAATGACTAAGTTCAGAGAAATTAAGTAACTTGTCCACAGGTACTTAAGTGCTGGAGCCAAGATCTGACTCAGGTTGATCCAGCTTCAAAGTCTATGTTGGTGTTTTCTTACAAAAATTACCATGAACACTTAACTGGTCTCTGGAAAAAAACTAAGAATTTTAACTCAAATATCTGACATCTCCCCTTTATATTTCTTAAAAACTGGAGGTTCTAGTGTAAAAACGAGTAATTTTCTAAGCCTCTTACGTAAAATCAGCATTCATAACACTTTACTGAAGTCACTGTCCTCAGCAAGGTAATTCCTGCCAACAATGAAATGTTAGCTATCAGTTTTCTTGTATGTGCAACTTAAATGCTTAGGTACCTTCTTTTAACTTCTCAAGAATCAGTTACCACTGGGGAGAAAACTATAGTACTATCAGACTTGTATTTTTTTTTAAAGTCAAAGATTCCAAGCTGGGCGTGGTGGTGCATGTCTATAATTCCAACATTGGGGAGGCTGAGACAGGAGGATCGCTATGATTTTCAGGCCAGCATGCACTACATATAGAGACTCTGTCTCAAAAAACAAAAAAAGAGGGCCGGGGATATAGCTCAGGGGCGAAGCACCTGCCTGGCAATGAGGTCCGGAGATCAATTCCCGGTACCAAAAAAAAAAAAAAAAAGCAGAGAAAAGAAAAAATAAAGTCAAAGGTTCCTCTAAATACCCAAAGTTTGGTGCTCCAAAATGTTTCCCTCAGTTGTTCGAATTTTTTATATCTATGCTAAGTCCTAACTAGTTTCCGGTTTTCCCTGCTGAGTATCTTTTCCAGGCTTGACTACTCATTTGTCTTCCTTGAAATCTGTAGCCCCTGCTTGCCCTGTTTTGCCAAAAGCAGATTAGGAATACAGATACAGACCATACTGGGGAGGCAGAATGTCGGTAATTTCGAGGCCGGTGTCTCCACCGGCATCAACTCGTTGACGCAGGCACTAGCCGGGTGGTCACTGTTTTCTAACCAATTCCTCAACAGGACAGCAATTTTTTGGCAAGTTGGAGAACGGAAACCACAGCATGGAAACTCTGCACGGAATCTTCACGATAACGAGTAAAGACTTAACCCTCGCCGAGAGAACGGTGAGGGCTTTCAGCGTGGCAAGACGATACTTTCGAAACTGTCACTAGACTACTCAAAGTGGAGTCTCCCGCCCAAATAAGTTTGGCACATGGCAAATCTAAAGCAGGCCTCCCTCCAGAGCTCCTGTCCCCGGGAAACACGCGCTGGGACCGTCCGATCCTTTAGTCTAGGGAAGAGGTGAAGAGGGCAGAAATCCTGCTTGTTTATTTCCAACAGTCCTCGGAGCGGGAAAGGTCCCTTCCCAAAGCCTGGAAGGGAAAACCCAGGCCTCTCGGGCGCCCGCAGCCCAGCCCCAACCGGGCTTCCTTCTTCGGGTCCCACTCCGGTCCTCGCCACCGCTCCCATTATCCCGCTCCCACCCCCGCCCGCGCAGGCGCAGTGGGAGCCGGGCCTATCCGCGCCCCCGAGCGCCGCGACCATGGCGGAGCCCGAGAAGGCCGGCGACGGCTCCGCGCAGGGCAGGCGTTCCGCTCCCGTTCCCGCGGCCTCCCCGCCACCGCCAGCGCCCTGTACTCCCTCCCTATGGCCGGCCCCACTTCCGCCCTTCTCACCCGTTCTTCAGATCCACCTCCAAGATCTTCCCGTAGCCCTTAAAGAAGCGCTCCACGTCGCGCTCCCGGGCCTGGTAGCTCAGGCGACCGATGTACACGCGCGGCATCCCGGCAACGGCGGCGGCGGCTAGCCCCGGCCCGGGCCCCCCTTAGGCGGCGGCCGGCGAAGCGAGAACACGGCGGCAGCGACGGCAACGGGCGGGCGGGCGGCCGGACGCAGCCGAACCCCGGCGACGTACGCGAGCACGTAGCTCGCGAGCGCGCGCCTCCGCTTCCCCCGCCCTCCCCCCCAGGCGGAGGGTAACGGGAGAGAGCGCGCGTTCGCTTCCCGCCTGGCCAGGGCTGGGGGCGGGGCCTACCCGGGGCGCGTCGGGGCGGGGCGGGGCCTGGTGATCGACAGGCGGCGCTGACCGCCTGGTTCCCCGCACGTCCTCTCGCGAGTTCGCAGAGGCGCCTGCGCGACTTTCCACCACCCGCCAACTGCGCCCGCCCTCCCGGAAGTGTCTGTGTTTGTGTGCTCAGAGCTTGAGTTCCTGCTTTTGTCCTTTGAACCGGGAGTGGTTTCAACTTCAGAGCAGGCTATTGGAATTAACCCCGACTTGCAAGCGGTTGTGGATCTGTGACCTTGGGTTTCTAACGCTTGATGTCTCTGAGTTCCTTTAGTTTTCTCTGTCGAAGAGTGCTCGTACTTCCTGCTTTACATAGTTGTCTTGAGAATTATATGAGAAGAGGTCCGTAAAACACTTTAGTACTGTTCCTGCACATTCTAAGTGCTCAAGAAAATGATACCTTATTATTACTACCTTTTTTTTTTAACCGTTTCTGAACACTGGGCATGCTAGACAAGTGCACCATTGAACTACACTTGCAGCTCGCTATTTTATTATTACTATTTTTTGTCTATTTTTTGAGACAGGCACTTGCTATGCAGCTCAGGGTGGCCTTGAACTCACTTTGTAGTCCAGGCTGGCCTCGAACTCGCAGCGTTCCTCCTGCCTCAGCCTCCAGAGTGCTGGGATTACAGGCGTGCACTACCATGCCTGGCTGCTTCTTCTTATTTGCGGTACTGGAGATTGAACCCCGAGCCTTCACACTTAGCTACATCCCCAGCGCCTTTCTGATTTTTTTTTTTTTTTTATTTTAAGACAACGTATCACTAAGTTGTCCACCAACAGTATTTTAAAACCAGGACACTTTGCTTAAATAGAAGCAGTGTGAAAAATGACGAACTTTCAGTTAGTCTAGGTGTGACACTGAATTAATTGCTTGACCAACCTAACCTATTTTCTAACTTGTAAAATTAGGATTTATACACATCTCAGTGAACTACCAGGGTGACCACCGGGCAGTGTGTGTGGAAGTGTCACTGGCAAGCGTGGATCCTTGCTTTAATGATAATAGAAATTAAAATGAAAGCGACAGTACTGAGTTTACCGGCAAAATACTTGAAAGTTAAAGAAAGAACTTTGGCTTGAGTAGTAGCCGGAAGGGGCACACTCTGATGAACAGCATCCGACCTGCCAGTTCACAAAGGAGACCAGTTTGGTAGGTCATTGTCTCAGTCCTGGTTTCTTTGCTTCAGAGGGACCCTCGTGACTTGAGGGGCAGTTTGGTTCCCATAAGATGCACCGTCCTGACTTGGGAGTAATTTCAGTCATGTGAGGCTGTGATGGAATCCAAGGTGACTACAGTTTTAAGACAATATTCTGGGCATCACTGAATGTACTGTAAATCTCTCACCCTGACGTCTTTAGTCTTGAAGGGCAATGAGATCGGCTAGGTAAATTTATGGCTAATAAACCTTGTCTTTTTAGACCGACATTCCCTAACATGCCTATATGCAGAGCTGAGAAGGCTATGACCTAGAGCTTTACAAAGTGAAGGTTAGGTTTTGTTCTACTTTTAGTTATTTGTAAGTTAGCTGCGGGTCTAAGTGAAGGGTTATATTTTTTTTTTTTTTTTAGCAACAACTGCTTTTAAGTCCCTGACTCATCGTTCTTTTCATGAGTAATAGGTTAAGGACCCAGAAGTCTGTTCGTCTTCTGACCCTATGGTGGCCTCTGACGCTGTATGACTATGTCAGAAGGGCTTGTTCTAGACTGTGGCATTTCAATAAGTTTTGGTTCCCATCATCCTTAATTTGCCACCAAGAGGTTTTGTTTATGTATTTTTATTTTTTTTGTCTTCTTTTTTTGGAGACAGGGTCTCGCTATGCAGTTCAGGCTGACCTTGAGGTCACTTTGTAGCCTAGGCGGGTCTTGAACTCACAACAATCCTCCTACCTCAGCCTCCTAAGTGCTGGGATTACAGGTGTGCACCACCATACTCGGCAATTTTTTTTTTTTCAAACTATTTTGAAAGGATAATTGAAAATTAAGGGCTGGGGATTTAGCTCAGCGGCACAGCGCCTGTCTGGCAAGCACAAGGTCGTGAGTTCTATACCCCGTACTGGAAAAAAAACCAAAAAGAAAATTAAAATAATACAGAGTGAAAAGTTTTCCCTTTTCTGTCCCTCCACCAGTTTCCTTACTCAGAAGCAGCTTTTTAAATGCCCTTCAGAGGTTGCATATACAGCAAATAGAAGAGAACCACACCTACATTTTTTTTTGATCTTTAATCACACAGAGCAGCAGTCCCCTTTTACATCACTGACCAACTATGCCAGAGATAAAGGATTTCTAGTACAATGTGGTCATGAGAAGATAGTTTCTGGAGTAAGCAAGTGACATTTTGTAGGGAAAAATGTGGACACAGGCAATCATACATGATTCAAATGCAATTCAGTTTATATAGGATTCAGGATTCATGGTAATACAAGATTTATTAGTCCTAAATTTACCTAAGTTATCTCATCTGCCTTCTAGCTAAGGGCACCAAAATAAGAAAAAATAAGGTTTTTTCAAGATTTTCAGGGACAGGACTGGAGATATAGGTCAGTGGCACAGTGCCTGCCTGGGAAGTGCAAGGTCGTGAGTTTGATTCCTGATACCAGAAAAACAAAAACCAAACGAACAAAAAAATATTTTCAGAGACATTTATTGCTATCTTTTACAGTGCTCTGTTCCAGACCCCTAGGATCAGTGCCTAGAAGTCTCGAGTCATTATCCTAACACTGTAGTTACTTTGAATTCCAGGAGAAGCAGAGCCTCACAGATCACCTCAAGATGAATTGCGGCTGCCCCACCAAAAAAAGCAAGAGCAATCATTTCGTGGAAATCAGACTGGTTCCTTAAGCCGTAAGGACTTCTCGGGAGCACATCTTGCAGAACTAGTCCTGAGATAGATCAGCCAAGCTGTCACCAATCAGTTGAGATTTCTTTTATTCAGACAGAAATCATGAATCAGCAGTGGATGCTTCTGCTAGTGTTTCTGGTGCCACCAGAGGACACCAGTTAATGCCAGTGTTGGGGATCAATACTGCTGGCCAGTGATCTCTGCTGCTTGTGGCCACTGTCAGTTGACCCTGGCTTGTGCCAAACACCATGGGTCAACTCTGTCAGTTGCTGGTCAGCTGCTGGTTGCTAGTCTGTCTGCTGGTCTTTGTTGGTTCCTGGTCTTTGGAGCTCTTCCTGGCTAACAGCCCCCAGTGTTGATGGCTCACTCTTTTAATGCAACTTCACTGTCCGCACTACTCTGAGAATTTCCAGGACCTTACAATAACCTTGCTGGGGCCTCCAAATGAGATAGGGGAAATAAATGTAACTCCTAACCTGGTAGATGTCAGGTATGCTGAGTTTGTGTCCCCCAAAATCAAAGAATGAATTCTACAGAGCAACCAAAGTTAAGAGTAAGAAAACTTTATTGAGAGAGATAGCTCCTTAGAGACAGGAGGGGACCCGGAAGTGGGTTGCCCCACCTACAGTTCTTGACTTAATATATTTTGGAAATTATTCCATAAGAATACAAAAGGAGCTCCCCATAGGACTGTATTTATGGTTCTTAATATACCATTTTATATTCAGTAATTTATTTAATCAGTGCTTTAGTGAAAGACAGTGAGATAGGTTCCAACGTTTTGGTGTTAGAATTGCTGCACTGAGTAACCTTGACTACTCATATGTGGATCTATTCCTGGAAGCAGGCCGATGGGAGTCAAAGGGCCTGGGCACGTGTGATCTTGATAGGCGCTGCTCAATACTGTACCCTGCAAGCACCTGTTTCCTCGTATAGTCAGCATTGCTATCAAATGTTTGACCTTTGTCAACCTGATAGGTAAAACACCACGGTATGTCCTGGTGGTTTAATTTGCAATTTATCTTGTGTGGAGTGACCTTCTTTTCATATTTAAGATAGTTATATTTTCCTTTGTTTATAACTTGCCTATTTTATCATTATTATTATTATTGGTTTATGAGAATTCACTATACAATGGAAAAATCAGCTCTGTCAAATGAATTGTAATTTTTTCCTGATTTGGTGTTAAACTTTTGACTTTGCCTAGAGTGTTTTTTTCCCCCCCTTTGGTATGGGGAATCAAACTCACAACCTCACACTTGCCAGGCATGTGCTGTGCAGCTCAGCTATATCCCGGGGGCCCTGTCTAGAGTGTTTTTTGACAGGCAAAATGTTAGGTATTTATGGGATTGAATTTATCCACCTTTCATTGTTCTTTGCTTCTCGAGCTTGTGTTATAGTCATAAGCTCTTATCATTCTAAAGTTAGAAAGAAACTCCCTTGGTTTATGCTCTTACTTTTTTTTTTTCTTTTTGAGATAGGATCTCCATATGTAGTTCAGACTGCCCTTGAACTATGTAGCCCAGGCTGGCCTCAAACTCATGGTGATCCTTCTGCCTCCGCCTCCCAAGTGCTGGGATTGCAGGTGTGTGCCAACACGCCCCCCAGTTTTATCTTGCAATTTTTTTTTTTGTCTTTTTGAGACAGGGTCTCGCTATACAATTCAGGCTGAACTGGAGCTCACTTTGTAGCCCAGGCTGGCCTCAAACTCGCAACTATGCTCCTGCCTCAGCCTCTCAAAGTGCTCGGATTACAGGCATGTGCCACCACACCCGGCTTATTTTGCAATTTTTAAACAATTTGGAATTTAGGAAGGCATGAGGATAATAACTAACTTCCTTCCTCTGTTTTCTTT